TTGGCAGGCCAGCTCCACTGCCTAACTCTAGGAGCCCTGTCCAGATAGCCCAGGGCATCCCCATAGACCTGACCCAGGAATACCTGTGCTTCCAAGGAGTCAGTCTCTCAAAGAGGAAAGCATTTCATTCTTGTATGGATGCCTGCATACTGAAAACCAAGGATCTGCAGAATCACTTAGCCTTTTCTCCTTCTTGAAATGCACATGCTGCCATTGTAGTCATGCACGGAGTCCTCAGGTGCCAGTCACAATGGACATAGGGCTCACTGGCCACTGCAGAGACACATGTACTCACTCTGACCAAAGATACTCATCAAAGTCTATTTCAATGAATCAATTGATCACACTGTAAACTAAACCACTGCACTTCACATTCTGCCAAATTCTCTTTGAATTTTTAATGCAAACTACAAAATGTAAACTCAGTTAAAAAGTTGGAACTGGGTGGGTGTGATGACACACGCCTTTAATTCCAGCATGAAGGGGGCAGAGGCAGGCAGATATCTACGAGTTCAAGGCTAGCCTGGTCTACAGAATTAAGTTTTCCAGGTCAGCCAAGGCTACAAAGTGAGATCCTGTGGTAAAAAAAGTAGGAACTGGAATAAAATCATGGCAGTTTAGGTAAGAGACCAGCCATGGACTGTCATTTTTTTTAACTGTATAGTGATTTTCAATTCAACTTGCAAATATAAAACAAACATTAAGGTTATTTCCCACTGGAGGCTGAATAGATGGTTCAGCGGTTAAAAGCACTGGCTGCTCTTGCAGAGGACTCAGATTTGGTTCCCAGCACCCACACAGCTGCTAAACAACCATCTATAACTCCACTTCCAGGGGATCTAACACCCTTTTCTGATCTCAGGCATTTCATGAAGATGGTGCATTCACATACATGCAGGCAAAACACATAAAATAAAAATAAAATCTTAGAATATTTCTCACCAGAGCAAGGAACAGTAGTTCATGAATCCTAGCACTGAGGAGGCTGAAGTAGGCAGTTAGGCCAGCCTAGGCTACAGAGTGGGTTCTGGGTCAGCCTAGGTTACAGAGTAAGAACCTGTCTGAAAACAAACTAAAACAAAAGAATGCTTCATCCCAGGCCTGGTGGCACATGGTATAACTGCAGCTCCTAGAAGGTGGACCCTGTAGGAGGATCTTCAAGGTCAGCTTGGACTCCATAGTCAGACTGTCTCAAAAATATAGACAGGGGCTGGAGAGATGGCTCAGCAGTCAGTGTTCTTGCAGAGGACCCAGGTTTGAGTCCCAGCACCCAGATGGCAGCTATGAACGGTCCTTAACTCCAGTTCCAGGGGAATCTGAAGTCCTCTTCTGACCTCAGCAGCATTGCACGACATGGGTGCACTCACATACATGCCGGCAGTACACTCATACACATAAAATGAAAATAATATTTAAAAATTATATAAATAGGGCTGGAGAGATGGCTCAGCGGTTAAGAACACTAGTTGTTCTTGCAGAAGACCCAGGTTTGAATCCCAGCACCACATGGCAGCTAACAACTGTCCGTGACTCCAGTTCCAGGAGATCTGACAGTCTCTTCTGTCCTCCGCGGACGTTGCACAACACAGGTGCAAGTACTTACCCACATGCAGGCAATACATGCATATACATAAAATAAAAATAATAA